TTCAATTAAATGTGTAATATAAACCTGCAAAGTCATGCAAAGACATAATTAGTGCATATGTTTTGTTTGTTAAGGTCTGAGAGGAGATATCCCTCCAGCATAAACCTAAATTTGAAAAGGGATGATGGGGGGGAAAAGTCGTAATTACTGCCTACTTTGTAACATATCTTTTCCAAGGGAAAAACTGTCTTTTGTCATATTGACAATTAATAATATCACAAGAGAGACATTAAAATCAGCCAACTTGTGTTAGGCAACTTCCTGGATATTTCTGAGCAGTAGGAAACAACCAATAAAGTAGGAACATATGGTACCTACCTTGAAAGGAGAACAGAAGTTACATGTGCATACGTCTCTGTCCTGGTTTCGGCAGGGATAGAGTTAATTTCCTTCCTAGTAGCTGGTACAGTGCTGTGTTTTGGATTTGGGATGAGATTGAGAATAAACACACCAATGTTTTAGTTGTTGCTAAGTCGTGCTTATGCTAGTCAAGGACTTTTCAGCTTCCCATGCTCTACCGACTGAGAAGGCTGGAGGTGCACAAGAAGCTGGGAGGGGGCACAGCCAGGACAGCTGACCCAAACTGGCCAAAGGGACATTCCATACCATGGGACGTCATGCTTAGCACATAAAATGGGGGAAGCTGGCCGGGGGGGCCGCTGCTCAGGGACTGGCTGGGCATCGGTCGGCGGGTGGTGAGCAATTGCATCGTGCATCACTTGCTTTGTATGTTATTATTATCATTATTACATTATTATTATTATTATCATTATTTTATTTCAATTATTAAACTGTTTTTATCTCAGCCCACGAGTTTTTCTCTCTTCTACTCTTCCAATTCTCTCCCCCATCCCACCAGGGAGGGGGGCAGTGAGCGAGCAACACTAGAAGTCTCCTATTAATTTTGCATCTTAACACCTATAAATGTATCTAGTTCATTGTGAGTATGTCTGTGTACAGTCAGAATCTTTAGTCATCTGAAGTCTGACGTCTGTCCGTTCCTCATCAGGAGGCATGTCTGGTTACTCCTTAAAGTTCAGGCTTGAAACTACACGTACACATAAGTGGTTGAGGGGAGATGAAAAATCGATAGTTCTGGTATACTCTGAAAGATATTCTTCTGCCCCCCTCCTGCCCCCACCCCAACAGGGACTCAAATGAACATAGGTGACCTAGGTAAACTAGTGACTTATTATGTGGATTCAGAATTTTTCTATCAGTAACTTTAAAGTGGGAAATTTGATTGCTAAGAAAACATTTTTTTAAAGCAAAAATATATATTTCTCTTGAAACAGTACTTTTCATGAGAAAACCAAATGGCTCAAAATATCCATTTGAAAGGCTTCTGTGGTAACTTACGCAATTAAGTTTATCATATTTTCATTCCTGTCTTTGGTTTGAAATTTCAGTCTGAGTCCTCAGCCAGAAGTCCTGCAATTGTTACACAAGACCCAGAGGCAAGTATGTGATACACTGTGAAGATGTAGTCTGATCAGGGAATAGCCTGTAGAGGAAGGAGTCTTGGGCCTCAAGACACTTGAAATGTAACTCCTACAACCTACTTTTCTCCACCTCCTTTCTAGCAAAACTTCAGGGTAGAGTCATGGAAGAGAAAACTTTTCCCTATTTACATACACTCTATGGAAAGAGAGGGTAAAGAACACTGGTAACTTACACTTTCCTTTGAAATTGAATTACTGGATTACATGAGATGTAAGTGGGCGGTAAAACTATGTAGGAAATGTGATTTTTACGAGATCTTTTTGAAAGACCTTTCCTACTGAAACGGTAATGAGAGAGAGTTCCCTAGGAGAAGGATAGATAAAATACAAGTAAATGGTGAACACTGAAGGACTTTGGAAACTCCATGGATGAATGACAGCAGCAAGGAAAGAGGTGCAGGATGAAGGAAGGGCCTTGAGATGGAAAAAAGCTTGAGAAGCAGGAGGGTGAGACAAATTTGCCAAAGATAACAAGAATTTGAGGCTGATTAAAAGAAAATTAATTAGGGAACAGTTGAATGGAAGAGATTCCATAGCAGCTTTGTTTTTGAAAGATATTTGTTTCCTTTGGGATATCTTTCTCACTATGGTGGGTGGGGGGGAAGGCAGGAGAAAGGAGAAGAATTGGCTTTGTGGCAACTAAGGTTTTGTGGAATTGAACAACTGTGGATTTGAATTTCTCTAGCTTTTTTTCAGGACAGAGTGTAAAGAGCTTAGACACTGGGTCCATAAAATAATCCAGAAAAGCAGTATTTCCTTTGTGTGCTGTGTTCTCTGTACGTTTATTACTGGCTTCCTTGGTTGTACTCTGCTTTCCATAAAGTTTCTTTAGAAGTGTGACTCCTGAATGATTTCCTCTTGTGTCAATTAACTGTTAAACTTTATTTTTCTCTTAACAGGGAGTTTTTATTGTGAACACTGTAAAAGTGGTATGGCTGTGCGCATCACTAAGTTTGGGTCTCCTTGACCGCTATTTTGAAACTTCCACTTTAAAAAAAATAATAACCTTGAATGAGATTCTCTTCCTCATATCATATCCTTCTAGCTTCATTCATCAATTATTTACTGCTCTCCTAAGAAGACTGGTTCACCTTCAAGGCAATTATCTGCCGTTTTTTAGGACATGCACCTTGTCACCTTACCCATGCAGCATAAAATCATGCATGCTGCTGCATGCGTGCTACCACCTCTTAAGAACAGGCTTATCGTTCGAGCAGTCATTTGAATCCCTCCCCAAAAGCACTGCTTATTTGGATGGAGGGAATTTACCAGTATTGCTTCTCTCCTAACAAACGGTGTCTCAGCTCTGCCTGTGCAGCTTTAGCACTACAAGAAAGTCCCCTTCAGCTTTTGACATCCAGCATCCCTGACTGCATGTGACAAGCTCTGAAAGCCCGGAGGAAGGTGTCAGACTGCAGAGCAGGAAGAATCAGAAGTGAAAGAATATGCAGCTGATAACTCAAAATGTGGTTGAAACGGTGTGCCCAAACCACAGAAAAAAAGGTCTGAAAGAAATCTTCTGAAAAAGAAGAATTTGGAGGGTTTGGTTTTTTTTTTTTGGATGTGTACTTAGAAATGCAAATTTGTCCCAGTCTGACTTGTGCAAATTTAGACAAAATTCTTTTAAGGAACAGTTTTTCCAAAATGAGTGCTTGTTTGCAGTTTTTTGTTGGTGATTTTTTACCATTCAGGTTAACTTTAGATGCAAGAAACTGTTTCCATAAAATGGTGATGAAGTTAGCCTCAGAGCCCATAAACAAAATGCTCATTACATCTATCACACTGGTTTCAGAGTGCTCAGGCATAGCTAAGGTTAAGCCTTTGAGATGTGAGGAGAGATTTCAGGTCAAAGCAAATTCTTACAGTTGTATCGTAAGCCATTAACAACAATAATAAAGCATATTGTTAATCCAAACAAGTTTAGGAGAGCAGGATAACAGAGTCTCTTCCTTTCAGTATGCCCTTTCAAACTGATTTTTCACTCTTCTTTCCCTCTTCTGTTTTTTCAGAACTTCACAAGAGCAGAACTTGAATTAAAATGATAGATAACATGCATCTCTCCGAAGTACCTTGCTATCGTATAACTTTTGATAAATATAGGTCCTTGTTTTGGCTTTTGTGAAGTCACATGACCTTTAATTCCTCTCTCTTACTGCAGGTGCAATGATTAAAAGGTTAAAATTCAAAGTGGAAGCAATAAACCTCTCCATAAAACTTGTTTAAACTCACAGATGGAACTATCCTGAGGTCTTTGGAAATACTTAATACAAAAAATTCCACTGAGGCATTGAGCCATAAAAATTAGGTATTTTCACACAATTCCTTTGTAGACACTAAATCTAATTAATTGATTTATAGTTCTAGAGTGGATTCTTACTGGAAATCTAAAGGAACTCTGAGAGTGAATGAAATTTGACAAATAACAGCATTTTCAAGACAGTTTTGTGCAAAGAATTTATTCCTTCACAACCAAGGGCCATAAAAAGCATCCTTTTCTTTAGTATGATAAATTATATTTCTGTAATAATAATAATAAAAAAATCACATTGCTGTGTTCCTTTAAGTTACATTACCAAATAAGTGCTAATTATTCCCTTTGCTGTTGTCTGAACATCCTGAGCCATTTACAACAGAAATGGAAAAGCTGCTTGAATAAATGTTCTGTGTTTAAATCACTTGTAGCCTGAGAAGGTAGTTAAAAAGACAAAAGGAGTCCTTTTTTGTGGGCGTGCTTATAGACCATATTTCCTTTTGCAGTAAATTCAGAAGTTTGTGTGTACAATGAAAGATTATTTGACAAACACCACAATAAAGATTAATCAGAGGCTGATATATCAAATATTTTAGTTATGTTTCATACAAACTGTGAATACGATATAGTTACCTGGAATAGAGTCACGATCAGAAATCTTAAAACATCATGTCATAGATGCACAATTTCACTGGGAAGTATGCTATAAGATTATAAGGAGGAATGTGTTGGCTTTGAGAAACACAAATGCACCAGGTCATACCAATGAAGAAAATCTGGGTAAAGTCAGCAAACTTGCCTATTCTATTATGAATTGCTGAGTTACTATAATCACAAAGCAGCAAACTACTGGCACCCTATGCCAGTGGCATTCATCAGGTAGATAAATACACACATCTTGTTCATATCTGCATATTTCTAGTAGTGATTGGCAAGGTTCTCAATAAGTGTGTGTGCATGGTTTGAAGCAGAGTTTGTATTAGTTATAATGCACACAAATACACACTGGGAAAGGATTTACTCTCCACACAAATGCACAGAAACATAATCTCTTAATGAGTCTACATCTGGAGCGCTACTGAAAAGCTTTAGGAAAAAATGTTTTTAGAAACCATTCTGCCCTCACAATAACTGTTAGCTAAAATCTTGAGCTCAGCATGCTAAGAAGTAACTAAACATACTTAACTAAATTGCTGTAATTTAATAGGAAAAGCAACAGAGCAGGAAATCCATAAATTAGTAGAGAGTTATCTAAATGAATAGCTTTCATCATCATATTCAAGCTCATCTTCCTCATCATCCTCCAGAAGTCCATATTTAAATTTGCGATAGACTGTGCCATCCTGACCCATATATACAATGTCATCTTCTTCGTCATCATCTTCATTATCTCGATCTCTATACTCAATCACTTGATCTTCCTGGTAACTGGGACTCTCGTGGTAGTTGCTCATGTAGGAAGGAAAGGGTTTGGAGTGATTTGTCAGCTTCTCATACCCACCTTTATTGACAGCCTGGGTTTTGGCTCGTGATTTTCTCCAGATGAATACAATGGCTCCAATGACAAGAAGCAGCAAAATACAGGTAATAACAAAGAAAGTCGTTTTGCTTTTGCTCTTGCTCTTGGGTCGTAGAGTGGTCCGTAATACACAGTCGTCTACAACAGCAGTTAAAAAAACAAAAAAGATTAAATGAGCTTGGGTGTGTGTGTATGGTGGGGTTTTATTTGTCTTAAAAGACCCAGTACAACGTTTAGGCCTGCTTACATTCTTAAATACATTTGACCTTACTCTTCCAGCACCACAACTGTGTTCTTGTAGCTGTGATGGTATAAGGATGTAAGCAAGGTTGCTGGGTTAGCTATGCTTCTTTATTAGATTAGAAATAATGGGAAAGAAGCAGAACAGCTAACAGGCACACAAACATATTTTGACATGATGAGCTTGAAATGCAATGATTCAGATGGCTATCCATTGAAGCAAGCACTTCCCAGTCACCTGGTTTATGAAATGCCTGGCCATTTAACACAATAGCTGTGAGTGAAAGAAGGTGCTGTCTCCTGCATCAGTCGCGATTGCTGTTATTTGTGTAAAGCCCTTCTGATTCTGCTGACGGAGCAATAGAAACACGCTGTATGCTTGCAGCTCAGGAGCACATTTTTGCTCCATTCCCCTTTTGACTTTTAAATGTCAGCCTAGTCAGTCATAAAGCCCTTCAGCACCGTTACTGTTCTTCAGCATGGTCCTACCTTGTGTTTCACTGCAGTCACAGCACTCTGGGGTGCCTGCTAGGTCAGAGCCACTGCAGCAGGGCAGGCAGCGGCTTTCCTCCAGGTAGAGCTGCATGCTGGCTGGACAGATCGTGCAGTTGAGAGGCCCAGGTCCCTTGCACTCAGTGCATGAGCTGTCACATCTCTCACACTTGGGCTCGTCCTCCTTCAGACACAGAACACAAGCAGTGCACCTTTCAATTTGGATTCTTTGGACTTGACCTGGCAGTTCTGTCCTGTCATTCGCTGTCTGGGTGGTCGTCTCTGGGCACCACGGGTGTCAATGGCAAAATACAGTAGGGAGTAGAAAAACTAAAATTTGGTTCATATTTCCTGGGTTCTCAGTGATCTGCTTGTAGGGCAGGGAGGAAAGTGTTGTAGGAGCTTAGTTAGAGATCTCACCTAGCTAGACAGCAAGCCAAAATTCATTCAGATTGTAAGCTCTTTGGCCAGAAAGCGTGGGTTTGTTTTGCTAGGCTCATGCTAGCAGATCTACGGTTCTTTGGCAGTAATGATGGTAAAGTGGCCTTCAAGAAGTGTACTCAAGAGTATCATTAAAAGTAACTGACATGGGAGAAGCAACATGAAATATTCTGGAAAACAAAAGGCAGCTGGGAGAATGAATTTCCTTTCTAACTTGGGAAGGAGCAGAAATAAGGAATAAAGCTGGCTGGAAATTTTCTAGCACACCAGATTTTTATTAGATTGTGTTGGTTCTGTTTTACAGAAACAGCTTAGATTCAAATATGCTTCTCAAATACCAGATAGGATCCTGAGAGCCTCTGTGTACAAAGAGTACCGGAGATGATCATTGTCACATCTACCTTGCAGAATGCTCTGAGCTCAGGTAATTCAAGGCTTCCAGTGTTCACAGTTCCTGGCCTACTGGGAAAATAATTGCTATTTTTCTGCCATGGTACCAGGACCCCATACCCCCTATGAGGATCTGGAAACTCCAATAACCTTTCATCAAACTTGCTGTCAGACCTGTGAGGCTGGTTGTCCTGAATCGAAGAACCCGGGCAAGATGGGAAGGTCATAGCAGGAGGTCTTGTTTCTCAGAGTCAAAGCTCTTGCAGAGTACTGTGGACCTCTGTGGTCCCCAGCTCTTAGGCTGTTTTCTCAGGCTCACAGTTGTGGGGCAGCACTGCTAAGGGGATATTCCAGGCCAGAGACTCCAAGGTATGCAGCATCTTAGGCCAGCTGGCTTGCCTTGCTGCTATATTCTTGAATAAACATCTTCGGAAGGCAGTTGGTGTGGAAATCTGGAAGCTGGAGTGCCCAGACTTGTGGCACAGACCCAAACCTAATTGTGGTCCTACCCTACTAAATATACAGCTCTGTTAACTTCAGCCTGTCTTTCCACTAGAGGTTTCTGCCAGCAAAGCTGTCGATCAGGAATGTGATGTGATTTCTTACAGACAAAGCAGCAGAAATCCATGGGGAAATCTTAGTTATACTGGAAGAAAAAAAATGCTTTATTACTAATATAGCTGATTTTGTTCACATGGCTTTAGTATCATCATTGACAAAGTTATGCCTTAATATTTACTCGTAGAGGATTACTCGATAGTAGACAACCCCAGAAAGAGAAACAATGCTTCCTCTGCCAAGAGAAGAAAAAAGTAAGCCTATTTAAAGATTAGCAGCCTTGAAAACTCAGAGAAGAGCATTTTGTGTTGTTTGTATTGCGTTCAGAAGTTGAAGTTCAGCATACAAATCACAGGAGAAAATGCCTAGAAAATAGGTACCTCTTGTCCTGGTGTCTCCTGGACTTTGTATTCACCTACAAAACAGTCTGAGTTGCACATTCCACTTAATAAACTGTAGCTCCATACACAAGATGTGCAGCTGAATGCTCCCTTCCCTAGAAAGGCAAATAAAACAACAATATTACAAGAGGAAAAACTGTCACCTAACTTCTTTCAAAAATTATACTGACCACTGACACCAAAGAAGAGGGTATTTGTCAACAGCAAGAATCAGCAGTGAGGAGTTCAGCATTAGGAGGCTGGTATTAGAAAGAGCTGGGGCCTAGTCTTGAGGTTTTATGTGCCCACAAAGTGTATTTCTTATGTGTTTTGATATTCATGAAAAGCTGATTTGGGAATCAGTTGTATAGGCAAGTTCCGACACATTCAGGAAAATCAATTAGGTCAGCAGACTGAAGCAAAATTGTGGGAAACCTTGGCCAAATGCCATCCTTCACAAAATCAATACTTTTTAGGCCTGCTAGCTAACCCTTTTCAAACCACAATGAATTAAGGTATGTTTATGTTTGAATAGCAAAGTAAATTCTTTAGTTGCATAGGAAAAAAATTCTTTGCTAGGTCCAAACAGAGCATCATATGCACTTTGTGTGTTGGAGACTCTTTCTGAAGACACATGCTACACGCAGTATCTCTGTGAAACATTGTAGTGAAGGGTTTGTCCTACATGTTAAGATGCACCTGTCCATTTCCCTGCAACTAGGCATTTTCTGCCACTGTCTGAAAGGAAGAAAATGGAAATGCAAGTAGTTCATGTTAGAAGCAGTTAAATAGGTGAAGTTAGCAATCTTCTATAACCCAGTGAATTTACTGTGTGATTTTTCTGAGCAGTGCAGGATTTGTCTTCCTGCTCTTGAGAAACAAGAGGCATCACAACACTTCTTTGCTTGTACATCAGCAATGCAGATGCATTTCAGAACACCTACAGGTTTGCTGTTTAGAAGGACTGGCTTGTGTTTCATCTCAGGGTCTCTGTAATTACGACAGAAAATCTGTCCTGTAGTATTTATCCCAAATAAAGTAAAGATCAATGGATGTAGTCTGTAAATTAAAATGGCTATCTTTTTGTCCCAAATCCAAGCCAAAATATTTGTTATTTGTTATAATGTTGTAATACAATTACATTTTAATAGTTCTTGAAGGTGGCTTCACTCTGAGTTATTTCCACAATTTTAAATATTGCTATGTTGCAATTAGCCATCTGTGCTATCCAGTATCCAAAATGAATTTTGTATGTTGCAATATGGTGTGGTCTAAGCTGCAGGGTGGCACCTGTTAGCTATCATCTGATGCTGTTCAGATAGAATAGGACACCAAATAGATCTAAGGGGATTAATGCTGCTTGCTTCAGAATTGGATGAATTAGGAAAAAGAAGAAACTGAATATGTAAGTGTGTCACGGAACAAAACAGATGGTCTCTCAAAGTTAACTTTGAAAAATACTTAACAATATTAAAAGCAGCAGACATCAGTGCTTTTTGTTTGCTTGTTTGTTTTTCACCCAAAAAATAGGCTTTGTGGCCTTATTGTTTAAAAATAGGCTTTGTGGCCTTATTGTTATCTTAAGTGTTGTTGGCTGTTGATTTTCTACTCTTCCCTTTGCAGACTGTAACGATGTGTGGTTGGATTGAGGTTCCTTGGCTTTCACAGAGTAACACATAGTAGGACAGCTCAAAGGGTGAGATATTATTCAGTCATTATTCAGTGTTTGTGCGAGAACCGAGGTCCAGCTCTATAATCAAGAGAGCCCTTTTTTTTTAAGTTGGTGAGCATCTTTGTGAGAGGCCTAGCTGACGGAAACTTCATTACCATTGTCAGTTTGTTTCTCTTCACTGACTTGGCGCTGGGACTCGCTCTCAGCCCTCCCCGTGAGGGTCTGCCTTTACGCTTGCAGTCTGTGGCTGGAGGCAGCCCTGCGGGGAGCTTGGCAGGAATTCATATCCTTGCTTTGATCTCGATCAATCAATACTCTAAAAGTAAGGCGGCAGCATGGAGCAGCCAGTGCAGCAAGACATCCAGGGCCAGGGAGAGCCTGGCAGCCGCAGGGGAGTTCTGCGTCACCCACTGCAGCTACTTAGGTCATGGACAGGTTGGTAGCGCTGTACGTGGTATGTCTCTTTGTGAAGTGTTTCCAAATCTTGGAGCAAGAGTAAAAAAAAAAAAAAAGAAGAGATGGCAGGTGTTTTGATAATCCTTGGCAGGTGTTTTAATAACCTTTTTTTTGGTCATAGTGGAGTGTATGCTTTTACCTTCACAAGTTCGGCAGGAAGGGTGGCATCTTTCACAGACGTTGTTGTCCTTGCTTTCGTAGTAATACTCAGGACAAGAGCTAACGCATTCGTTCTTGGAGCGCAACAGGTAGAAATATGTATCACAGAAAAGGCAGTCTGTGGGTTGAGGCCCCATACACTCCTTACAGCCCTTGTGGCATCTCTCACATGATCCAGTGGAGTTTTGTGCAAAATATCTGAAATAGATCAGATAGCCATGGCTTTGCATAAAGCCTAGCAGTGACAGGAAAACAAAAACATCCTTCATCCTTAGCTTTTACTGTGATTGCATCGATGTATAAAAGTGATATTGATGTGATCACAGTAAACATTTGCAATCTCAGTGAAAAGAGAATTAATTTCATTTAATTCCCCTTGGCCATTGGAATTCAGCTATAAAACAAGACTTTGTAAACTGAGGGTGTATATAGCAAGACTTTCTAAAATCTAGGGTGAATTCAGACACAAAGTAAATAATAAATAAATAGGCAGGGCTCAGAAAACCTCAACTCTGTTTTGGCTCTGCAAGAGATATCTTGGAGATGCTGGGTAAGCACTGAATTCCTAACTGCTCCCGATGACCTGCTGTCAGATGGAAATTCAGAAATTTCATATTTCCTTTCAGTGCACAAACAGGCTTATCCAAAGGATACCAGCAGAGGAACAGTGTTCATCTCAGTTGTGCTGTCAGAGAAAAAGAGGAATAGCTGCACTGTGGTTTTTTTGAGATGTGGTCATTACAGACTTCCAATTTAATAGGATGATAACTCAATTTAACAGCCAGCGTGATTGTACTGTACTGCAAAATGAAATGGACCTGAACCAGGAATCATAGGTCCACTTCCCAAATTTGAATTTCTGAGACATATTCACTAGAGCACACTGAATTAATATTTTGAAATTAAATGGACTCATATTAATGAAGTTGCCATCTAGAATTATGAGTCCTCAGTTAAAAGGTGTTTTAATGGTTGGTTTTATTATGATCCATTATAAACATTCACTCAATGCAAAACAAAAGTAACCTCATCCGAACCTCAGGTTAAGTGAAGGCTGCAAGGGGGCTTGAAGGAAGTTATGCTGCTTCCTGTGTTCAAGCTGGCTAACAGATAACTTAGTGTATTTATTCTGCTTCACACTGTTCTGTATAAATATAACCTAAGAGCATCCTTAGAGTGTAAGAATGGCCACACCACATCAAGCTGGTCCCAATTTGGGCGCCAACTTTACAGTTTTCTACTGTGAGGGGAGGTTTTCCACCGTCTCTGTACTGGGCAACATAAGAATTTTTCACCTGAAAATAGAATTCAGTTCTATTTCACTCTGAAGTAGAATAGGGCAGAGTGATCCAATTTCTAAGCTTTTCCTGTGATGTAGCTCTTAGCTAAAGATCTTGGACCTTACCCTGCTGGACACTGGTTTATGCATCCTTTTCCAAGTCTGTACCAGCCTGGTTTGCAGGAAAGGCACTGTGAGCTGTGTTTTCCAGTGCAAGTGACACAGGCGCTGTGGCATGGGGAACATTGTCGCTCATCACTGTCAACATAATACCCAGCTGGGCATGTTTCAACACAGGTTGTATCTGCACAGACAACAATGCAGAGTAACACATCGTATTTAGTATTTGCTGCTATAAAACATCTCATACAGCTGTGCTAGAGCAAACTCTCTAACAGGAGATGCTGTTAGAGCACGTGCCAGAACAAGAAAAGAGAATGTTAGGATGTAGTAGTTATTTTTTGTTTCTTCTAAGTCTTGTCAGTTCATTAGTCCTCATTTCTGCGTTTTATGTACATTAGCAGGCTCTTCAGAACAGATAATTTTTTATCTTTGGGAAATATAAATGCATAATACATAATAATGTATCACAGCTGCTGTGATTTCTTTCAGAATATACAAAAGAAGAAATAGTAATTAAGAAACTTTCTATATGCATTGCCATTTTCCATAGGTTTCACTCTAAGCGTCAGCCTCATTGCATTCTGTGTATATGACAAATCTCATGGTAAATATGAGATTTAATGACATTTTTTCATTGATCTTTACCCCTGTCTGTGGCTGCTGCTTTATGTTATGGGAATAAATGCCTGTAATGCCGCCAAATGTACCAGGTACATCCCACTCTCTTGAATGAGAAGTTAGGACTGATGCAACTAACTGCAAGTGCATCAAGCTAAAAGAGCAGTGATTACTCATTAGTAGCTTGTACTCATTATCTAGCTTGTCTTTATAGTTTTGGTTCTCGGGTTGCAACTGTGCAAAGGGAGATAGTTCCCCTTATTTCTATTTTCCTTGCAATTCTTTCTCCACTCCAGGATGTTTATTTACATACTTCCATCAACTTTACCAGTTGTAATGGTGCAAAGCAGCTGAGTGTGTTGATAAAAAAGACAGGTCTGATGCAAGACCTTAGAAAATTAAGAATGCAAAATCTGCATCAGAATTAGACTCAAGAAGCTGAGGTTCAGTTTTAATTCAAACTCCCTTTAGATTTTTCCTGCATGAAAGATCGTTTTAATAATTTTTTCTCCCAATTATTTTCTAAAATTTTTGTTTGCGTTTTAAAGAATATGCAAAGAAGTAAAGTTTAAGTTCTGGGATTTTATACTTTTTACCAATTTGTTTCTGAGACAATACAGTCTTTTGCTCCAAAGTCAGAAAAGTAGTTTTGCACCTCAGCCATTCACTAGATACTGACCTAGTGATCCATGAACAACTTTTTAACAGCTCTGCTTAAAGAAAGCTCTGAGCTTTCTTTGCTCATCAGATCTCTGCAGGGATTAAACAAGCCAACATGAAAATGTGAACTCTTTGTGTGTACATTAAAAAAAAAAAAAAAAGCTGACGATATCCCTCTTGTCTTTCTAAATTCTTTGTAGGAAACATCAGGAACTGAACATACCAAGCATAAAGTTTTGCTTAGCCATGGAGTTTGTTGCTACTTAGAAGTCCTGCTTTGGCCCCAGTGAGTGGCAAGCCCACTCTCACAAAGAGTTTCCGCAGAAGTAATTATCTCTGCACAAGTTATCTACTTCTCAGGTCAACTTTTCAATATTTAGATTGGCTTAAGCAGCCCTAGATGTTTCATAAATGTGGCAGAAACTTGCCTATTTCATGCTCTCAGTGCAGAATAAAATCTAGAGGCAGGAGCAAGACACTTACTGAGAAGATAGCGGTTATTCACACAGCTAATACACTGGTGTTCAGTGGGTCCTGAGCAGTGGAAGCATTTCTTATGACAAGGCTTGCAGGTCTGAGTTTTCTCAACGTAGTACTCAGTGTGAGAGCAGTATCCAGATGCCACACAGTGCCCATCATAGTTCAGCGTCAGGCCATTTCTGCAAGTAAGGCAGGCAGTGGAGGAAGAACAAGTCTGGCATGTCCTATTGCATGCTGAAATGGACAAACAGTAGGAATGTCACCATTTCTTGTTGCATTTCAGATTATTGTTTCAACTTTAATTTTGCAAGGAGCAGCCATCAACTCAGGATGAGAGGCTGAGGGAAGCGGTAGCTCTGCTTCTGCATAGTCAAACATTTTACTGTTTTCAATCTTACACAGCCAGTTCCTTAGGTTTTCTTTTGCACTGGCACTGCTTTTGCTGAGCAGTGGTTTTCAACATATTGTCTCCAGGAACACTCAGCACTTTACCAGAGTGGTTGCCCGTAACATTAAATACATCTAGCTTTGCTACCTCCCTCTCAGCTTTCTCCAATTTTTGCTGTGCTAAGCTACTCCTTGTTATTTTTCTGCATTAGCTATCTCCTCCGTTTCCAGGACACCGATAGCGACATTAGCCGGCACACGCAGGCCCTTTTGGGATAGTCTTTAACCCATACCCACTTGTATCTCAATACCGTTCTGGGGAAAACAACAGCTGCCAACCTTGGCAGTCTTTAGTGGCTTCTTCATAGTAAGTCCCTTCAGGGCATTCTTCAAAACAAATGCCACTGTAGAGGACAAAGAAGTCGATGGCACACTCAGTGCAGTCGTCCGAGTCCGGCCCATCACAATCCTTGCAGTCTGTGTGGCAGGGAAAGCAGTGCTTGTCTTCAGCATAGAAGTGAGAAGGGCAGTCCTGCACACACTGCCCCTCGTGCAGGAAGAACTCGTGCATGCACTCTACAGAGAACAGCAAACAACAGGTAAGCCAAGGGGCAGCAAATTCTGACCTCTGTAAGTGAGGGAGTGAAGAAACCCTAGAAAACCATAACTCCTGCAGTGCCTGTCATAACAGGAGGTAAGAGGACAGCTTGGGAAGGTAGAGCTTTCTTTTTCAACGCTTTCCCCTCCAAACTGCCCGTAACGGCCCAACCCTCACACAGCATCTTCTGTGTTACATTAAGAGACTGAGAAGCCAAGTCACCTGTTCAGCTTTGCTGATATTAACCAAACTATGCTGCCACTGAATACAGGTGGACTTCTGCTGAGATATTATATCTGCATTATGAACTTGCTGCAAGATCAGGGATGTCCACATCTGAAGGTTTTTTTTTTGTTTTATTATTAAAATACGAGTCTGGCTGGGATATATGGACCTGAATGTTTGTCTTTGCATAGAGCTGGGGTTCAGCTGCTAATTTTATTATGAGTACTTGGTTTAATAGGTTTATGATTTTTTTTTATCTTATCCATGTTTATGTTTCCAGAACGGCTTGCTCAATATTAACTATCCTGGAAATTTTTGTGGGGACATTCAGACTCACCAGGATATCCAAGGCTTTCCTAATACGTTTCATTACAGAGATGTCATTCTCTACCATAAGTAGTCATTTGCAAAAATGGTGAAGAGATGTAAAGTTCAACAAAATTAGGAAAGAAACATTCTGTATTTCACATTGGTGTAAATGTGTATGCAAGTGTTTAGGCATGGATACACTAGGTCAGAAATAAAATCAAACCTGTAGGAATCTCCCAGGGACAACAGGAACAGGCAAAGCAATGTGAAATTTTTACAGATTAATGGTTTAGACTGAGTCTCATCATAAAGCACTGATTGCTTAGCCTCTATCTTAGAGGTTAGCAATGATATATACATCCATTTTTTAATTTTTGCTCATTACAGAACTTCTTTTCAGATCTGTGTTTCTGTCAGTCTGTCTCTAGACAGATCCAGATGGGATTTTAGCCAAGTCAAGACCAGTTCTTTATAATACCTTTGCATGTTTGATTGTGAATGCACTCCTGACACATTTCAGGGCAGTGTTTGCAGATTCCTTCAGAGGCAAAATGCTTCTCTGAACAGGTAGGTTTACATTTCCAGTGCTCCAGAAGCAAAGGACTTTTACAGGACAGGCATTTGGTTGCACTTCCCATGCATGTCTTACAGGATCCACTGCATTCCTTGCAAGTCTTAGAATCATTAAAATATCCCCTATTGAATGAAAACAAACACAAAGCAAACTGCTGGTCAATGTATAGTTATCAAACAGTCCAGACTATAAGAATTATGAGTATATATGAGACTTTCCCAACACACACATTTTAGTGGAGCAAACAGGTTTCTCACGCAATTTGTTGCCTATCCTCCACTTACATCCCTTCTGTCTGTGAGCAGAAAATGTGCATGGTTAGTGCTATGAAGGGAGTCTGGCCTTCCTTTGTTCTTGTACCTACTCTAAGGGATGTTGGACTTTCTTTCTTGCTCATTTCTTTATTTTCCCCTTATATAAGATAGGAAGATCTATAATGTTTGGGAAAAGAAAGATGCAATCTCTAGTCTTGCACAGTAGACCCTCAACAGTGATATCAGGGAAAGACAGAAAAGTATAACCTCAGTGGCCCTAGAGGGGAGAAAGAGAAGAGAAAACCCTGGAGTGTGAAGGCTGGGAAGAATAAGGGGGGACTGGGATTAAAAAAACCCAACAAAGCTAGGATGCTTAACTAGTACGTGTGTTTAGTGACAGCAATCTAGAGAAAGTGAAGAGGGAGCATGTTTTACTGGTATCTGTGGTGTGAAAGCAACTGTAGACAACCACAGCTGGGACTATTAGTCATAAAGAAAATGTAGGAAAAAATTGCACCTATATTTCAGGAGAAGAGGGATAAAAGGAGAGGCGGAATGCAATCCAATCTGCCTACACTCTCAAACCCAAAATGTTAGAAAGTTGAAGGACAAGCAAGTCCACATTTTGAGATGATTGCTAATCATATGTATACAGCCATTGATGAAAACTAAGGAAGAAGTTGACATAGAAAGTAGTCCCAGAACGTGTACTTCACATTAACAAGCTCATTCTTCCCTGTAGAGGGTGCTTCTCTTTTCCTTCTTGGAGAGCATCTTTTCAAAGAAAGGCTGGGGAGATGCATTAGGAGCAAGGTTAGAGAAAAGATAAGAGCTGTGCCTGCCATCTATTCTCATCTTTTTTTTTTTTTCTCCTAACCTTTTTCATGATCCTGCATCTATTTCTCACAGTCCTGTCTTCTTCTCTTGTTCCAGTCTTGAGTACTCTGCTAGCCCAGTCTTTCAAAATCCTCTCTCAGAAATTATCAGTGCAGCAAGTCAACCCTTTCCATCCCCTACAGCATGTCCCAAAACTCAAAAAAAACCTAAAAAAAATCTCATATAATCCTCTGCTCCAGTGGAGAGTAGTTATGCCTCAGGAACTTTGCCTCAGAGGCTGAAACCAGAATTTAAGTCTGGTGGACTTTGCTGAATGATGTCTGGGAAGCCATTATTTATACTCTGGAATTTGGAAAAAAGGGGGATAATAACAGCTGAAAAGACTAGTGAGATATGAAAAGGTTTAATTTTGTTATACTGTGTGGGATGTGGGGAATGAGTACTAAGAACAAACATATTAATGCCAAAACATTATCTTTGCATGTATGCCACAATTTCTGATATTAAAAGTTGTTTCTGGACTGCAGTGGGCTTTAGTGCAATTACTTTGCATTTACTGTAACATTTGATGATCAGAATCTGTTCCACTGGCCCTTACTGACTTATTTGACAAAGTTAGCAGGGAAGTACTGCCAGGGAATTTGTACTGATGGTAAGAAAAGCAGGAGCTGCACATTTTTCTAAAGAAAAAGGTTAACCAAGCAAGATCTTCATACTGCATAGCACAGATTTTATCTGTATATATAGGTATGATGAATGCTGATGAAAAAAGCACAGAAACAGGAGAACCTGATCTACTCAAGTGCCTGATCTAATATCCATCGCAGTCAAATGGGAATCTTTCTTTCTGAATTCCATTTATTACAGGAAAAAGTAAAGAATATAAGCCAAAGAGAGAAATACATCACTAAGTACTATATTTCCCTATCAGGACTCCGATACATCCACTTTCTGGCTTCACACCCTGCTCTGTACTACTTTGAGGAAGGAACAAGTTAGGAGAATGACTAGAGGCTTATTTTCAGTTACCATAAAGAACCATCCTGAAGTACCATGGTCTTATTGAAGTCAATGGGAGCTGTACTATCTGTCATAGGATTTCATGCCTATTTTCACTTTTGATTTTTCACTTTTTCTCTAGGCAAGAGAAGATGCTGTTTATTCAGGCCAGCTGAAAATGGCTTTTATCTTGTGGTAGTTTTTGGTAGCCTAGGTTACATTAAGGTCTCTGTTGAAAGGTTTATAATGGATCTGAACTTTGAAGAGAAGGAGCACAGTGAGAAAATAAGGAGCAGTTATCCAACAGGAGT